TATATATATATATATATATATATATATATATATATATATATATATATATATATATATATATATATATATATATATATATATATATATATACATACGTCACTTTTGGATATAATTTAAAGTATTTAGAAAGGATTATATAATTTAAAGTATTTAGAAAGGATTTTCAAACGAAAATATACTGTTATTTTCCCACCTACTCTATTATGAACATTGTGTTTACGTTCTGACAGGTAGTCAACAAAATTTGGGAAAATGAGAGCAATAGATGGTGCGCCGATTGTGGAGAAAAAGGTAACTGACGCAACTATGTTTTAAACATTGTTTAAAAACATGCATGACTGTTTAAATCCTTTCGTTTTACAAGCTACATGAGTCAGTGTTGTATAAGATGTACAACCTCTTCCCTTCGGCTTGAGTTATGGCGAAATTTGAAATGTGACATCTTTACACGCATTTATTCGAGTACATACGCCATGCATTAGAATCGCATACGACTATTTAACAATTAGTCTGCAAAGACGAGGTGATTACAAGCCTATATTCATTGAGCCGAAGACGAAGTCAATATAGGCTTGTAATCACCGAGCCTGAGGCGACTAATTGTTTTAGTATAATTTCAGTATTGAAAAAGTTTTATTTATAAATACAACCAATACACGTGTTTATTTTATGAATATAATTTGCATAAATAATTTATTTCTGTCTGATTTTTAGCCATTTTTTTGGGGAAAAGCAATAGTTCCTGCTCAGAGCAGTCTGAGAAGTAACTATTGCCTCAGAGTAATTACTGCTGAGGGATATTACAATCAGAATGCTCAAAGGCCATTTTTCAATACTGAAATTATACTAAAGTTGTATAATGTAGATGCATGGGCATTTACACAACACGGCCACTCATGCTGTATCTATAAATATAAGGATAGAAACACTATATGAATATGTTAATGTATTAATACAGCAAAGTTAAATACAGTATATGCATATATGCTTTATACATGCAGCAGAACACACTAACACTGCAGCATATCAGAATACTATACATGCAGTACAGTGCAGTGCAGTGGCAGAACTGTACAGTGTGTAATGCAGTACACGTACGGTATAGTACAGCATGCACATGTATACGGTATAGTACATGCATGCATGCAGCACAGTACAATACAATGTCAATGCAAGGCTATAAACAAACGACATAACGCGGTAACTTTAATATGCCATGTGAATTTATATACACAATATATTTTAAAATATATTTCTAAATACTAGATTAAACAGTATACATATTAACACTACCAATATCTGATTTTCATCACAATCGTTAAGTACTGGTTAAAACATGAGCAGCCGATCTTTATCTGATATGCTTAAAATCGACCCATATTATGAGTTTATTGACTCATTGGCGAAGTAATCTTAAAAATAAACATTGTCTAACCCGAGAAAATCAAAGCTGAAGTTCATGTAAATCAGGACAAATCTTTATCCGATTTACAAACATGTATTAAACATTCATTTCTTTTGTATTTTCCTCGTGAATTATTAATGAGATTTTTAATTGTAGTTAAACATCTTGTTAAAAATTATATATTGATTTCTACCTAGATCCAGTTTGGGCGTCAATCAACTTAGTTGTATGTGTGTGTGCTCGGTGTATCGGCGCACATCGCAACTTGGGGGTGCACTCATCCAAACCAAGGTCGTTACTTATGGATGAAAAAGTCTGGATTCCTTCTCTGATCAGGGTAAATTTACATACTCGATATATACCAATGAATAACTGATATAGTATTTTATAAGCTAGCCTAAATTGAATTACACGCAGTACTCGTTTGACGTGCGGTATATACTGCAACAATCGCGTATTTTTGCAGCATTAATTTGGCTGAACAATATTGTACAACAAGACTATTACCAAGACTGCATGCATGTACAACCTCGCACCGTTGACGTATACAGTGCACGTACAATTCTGGAGAACCAAAGGCAAAGCTCGCGTACGCGGACAAATATCTATATATCTTTCGTTTTCGAGAAATTATACTTGCTCAACAAAATTAAATTATTCATTTTGGCATGTATATTATGCATGACTTGAGTTACTGTCCTGTTTCCACTGCCTGTTTCACCAACTGTCATTGAACTCTTCACAATATATTTTGTATTTACATTACTTATAATACTTTCAGCTTATGGTAGAAGTTGGAAATGAAATTTCAAACAAATTTTGGCAATATAGACTTCCCGAGGATGACCAGATCTCTCCTGAAAGTTCAAGGTGTGTTCATGCCCTTTATTTATTTTTTCAAAACAAAAATAAATTACATAACCCGCAGCAAATGATTTAGTACTTTACCCATTCTTTGTTTTGCAGAGGCTAGTAATCTGAAGATCGCATGGCCCGTGCATGTGGGACTCGTGCATGTGAGACTCGTGCATTTATAGCCCGAGCTTTATATAACAGCCTCTTCATACGCACCAGAATGCACCACGTTCGAACTCGATTAGCCACCAAACTATGCGCGCTCAGGCTTGCCCTAATCTAACTGCAAACAAGGAAGATAACAACTAGTCAAACGGTATAGACATATACGCCAGGATGCATGGTGAACATTGCGCATAATATGGACCTTGCTTGTATAGATTTTAATAGAACGTTGTTAAATTATAACGTTGATTTTTCTTTATTTAGCCAGGCGAGGGAAGAGTTTATTCGTAAGAAGTATGTGCAACGGATGTATCGTCATGTGTCACCTTTATATGGTGACCCAGTTGCTCTTGGTGAGGTAAAAATTACTTGTTTTTCTTGTTGGTATTTGATTTGGTTATGCGACAACCTTTTCAACCGGATCGTACCCAGGGCTTCTGCGCTTGTGATGAGTTGCAAGAAGGGCCCTGGCTGACCTAACAGGGCCGCTGATTGGTGAAAGATTTAATTTAATTACGTCGAGAAGCGTTTCACTAAAAAAATTCCGTACATTTTGCCAAAAAATTCCGGCCCTAAAAATACGGGGGCATGCAATCCTGAAAAAAAATCCTGTATAATTTGGAAAAAATTTTCCACAAATATCCTTGAGAAATCCACAAAAAAATCAAGAAAATCCAAAAATATCCGGAAAATCCCAGAATCGAACAAAATTTCTTTTGAAAAATCCAAGAAAAGATCCATCACTTTCAAAATTTCTTTTAGAAAATCTGCGGATTTTTGAATGCCCCTCGAAATACATTGTTAGATTTAATTAATTGGTCAATATTATAAGAACGCGCGAAAGCAAACACAATATTATATATAATGCCCCGAAGGGAAGGACTGAGCAATTCACTGTTCAGAACTAGTTCAGACTATTAATGTACAATGCATTTAAACACTATAACTATCGTGAGAAGAAGATAAACGATGCCCTTATATTGTGAAAGAAGGATACCTTGTTATAGTTGTTCGATGATTTATTTTTGTTGTCAAGTTCTACACGCCTTCAGGGTTCAGATATTCCAACTGTTCTGATACTTAGTACATTTGATTAAAGACAGACTCGTTAATCGTTATAGGCGTTAAAGCTGTCGGTGTGTACAAACAATATTGAAAAGACGATGCAACTTGTGTTTTGTGGCGCAGATGTAAGTTTATATGATGCAGTACACTAGATTTTTTATTTGTATCGCATTGAAAACCGTGACACGATTACCTTTACCACGCATTTACAGTATATTCAGAATTCGTTGTTTTAAGAATTTCACAATTTTTCTCAGTTTTGTCCTATATTGCTATAAACTTTAACGGCCTTACAGCTGATAAACTTATCAATTGTAGGTTAAATATATATCAAGTGATGGTTCTGAGAGTAGAACTCGTAAGTTTGGTTTTTATATTTTTCCCGTTCGTTTATATATATATATATATATATATATATTTTCCAAGGGTTATATTCTGACGTGGATTTGTTTTGGTCTGATATTGTTTGTCTGTTCGCCTGTATTCGTGTTTATTAGTTTGTTTGTCTGAGCATCTGCATGCTTGTTGAGTATTTAATTGTTTAGTTTTTATTTTTGGAGCATATAGCAATGTTCTATTTGATTTTTTGTAGCATATGAATTGGCTAAGGCATCTAATCAAGAACTTCAAATGGTAAGAGTGATTGCGAGCGGTGTAGATATAAATGCCCATTATTTTTGTGTGCTACGTATACGTAAGCTATAAGGTGCAGCATTGGCTATGAGCCATATACGACGAGAGCGCTAGCGAATGGTATCCTTAAAAAAATCTTTTATGACGTTTGTGCTGGAAATCTTAGAGTGAAGTGGTTTCTGAAAACATCGGATTTTTTAATTTTTATTAAATATATATATGTTTCTATAGTTAATATACCAGTGCTTGTTCAGTGCAAGATTATTGTTTTATTTACATAGGGGAAAGGCACTGCGCATTTTTTCACCGCCTGTTCGCCGGCTAATAACTGATTCCTTAGTATTTAAATTAGTTTACAAAATATGAAACTTTTACCTTTTTATATCTCGTAGGAGTTCTTGATGCAAAATGGAGCCATTATGTTTGGTAAGTCAAACATTAGAGTGCTCGTATACCGTACGTAAACGTATATAGGCTTTCTTGTCAAAGCAAGGGGAGGGGGAGGGATAGAGTAATAGCAGAAAAGGAGACTATGTACCTTGAGCGCGATACTCATGACCCTTGAAAGTGAGTCTATATTAGAATATCCTTAATGTCTGCATGTATCATTATTGCAGCCTCGTCCCCAGGCTCCAACTCAGATGCGCGGGGTCACGGCGTGACGCAGGCAATTTTCAATTTCTCATGAAACGGCGCAACAAATCAAACCGTCTGGGGACGAGGCTGTCATTGTGTTTATAAGTAGAACTTGGGTATGCTCTCCTGGCAAACAGAATTTTGCATATAGTAGTTATAAACCATAAGCCTCCCCGAATAAAAGGCCCCCTCCCATGTATAAGCCCATGAGCATATTATTGGAGGGTATAGTAACGCAGGGACGGGGATTCCAACAGTTCATACGAGTGATGATAATTGCATATTTGGAGGGTCACTAGTTTATCAGTTTTACTTATATTACTGTCAAAGTGTTACCCTCTTTAAATAAAGTCGCAAACCAAACAAAACCAAACCATTATACTACTGTATATTAACTCGTTTTAATATGTGTTATGTATATACTGTATGTTTACATTTCTTTTCGTTCACGGTATAATTTACAGATAAAGCCCCTCCATATATAAACACATCAAAAATTGCTTATACGAACGAATATAAGCCCACCGGCTTAGTTATATTCGGAGGTTTACGGTGTAGTGTTCAGGTATCGATCAAACTACCTGAATTAGTGGATCGTTCCAGTGGCGTAACGGAGGAACAGGGGGCCCTTAGGCATATTTGGTGTGGGGGCCCTTGTTGACTGTTGTCATTGTTTGACTCATGAGATATATTTTTATATTGAGTATTTATAGAACACTGCAAAAAATCCTGAGTAAAATGTACTCAAAACCATGAGTAAATGAATGCACCCATAGTGACACATAATAGTGAGTAAAACTAACTCATAAACGCTCAAAAAACTGAATCTCACTCAAAAAACTGAGTTAAAACTACTCAAAGTACACACATGCATATAGTTGATAAATTACTCAAACTTTGAGTAAATGTTACTCAAAACT